CCGCGTGGAGTTATGTCGTTTTGGAACGTCATATCTCCACGCGGAGCTTTTACCTGAGATATTATGTCGTTCTGGAACGTCATATCTCCGCGTGGAGTTATGTCGTTTTGGAACGTCATATCTCCGCGCGGAGCTATTACCCGAGATATTATGTCGTTTTGGAATGCCATATCTCCGCGGGGAGCTATTACCCGAGATATTATGTCGTTTTGGAACGTCATATCTCCGCGTGGAGTTATGTCGTTTTGGAACGTCATATCTCCGCGCGGAGCTATTACCCGAGATATTATGTCGTTTTGGAACGTCATATCTCCGCGTGGAGTTATGTCGTTTTGGAACGTCATATCTCCGCGCGGAGCTATTACCCGAGATATTATGTCGTTTTGGAACGTCATATCTCCACGCGGAGCTATTACTTGAGATATTATGTCGTTTTGGAACGTCATATCTCCGCGTGGAGTTATGTCGTTTTGGAACGTCATATCTCCGCGTGGAGTTATGTCGTTTTGGAACGTCATATCTCCGCGCGGAGTTATGTCGTTTTGGAACGTCATATCTCCGCGCGGATCTATTACCCGAGATATTATGTCGTTTTGGAACGTAATATCTCCGCGCGGAGTTATGTCGTTTTGGAACGTCACATCTCCGCGCGGAGTTATGTCGTTTTGGAACGCCATATCTCCGCGCGGAGTTATGTCGTTTTGGAACGTCATATCTCCGCGCGGAGTTATGTCGGTTCGGAACGTCATATCTCCGCGTGGAGTTATGTCGTTTTGGAACGTCATATCTCCGCGTGGAGTTATGTCGTTTTGGAACGTCATATCTCCACGCGGAGCTATTACCTGAGATATTATGTCGTTCTGGAACGTCATATCTCCGCGCGTAGTTATGTCGTTTTGGAACGTCATATCTCCGCGCGGAGCTATTACCCGAGATATTATGTCGTTTTGGAACGTCATATCTCCGCGTAAAGTTATGTCGTTTTGGAACGTCATATCTCCGCGCGGAGCTATAACCCGAGATATTATGTCATTTTGGAATGCCATATCTCCTCGGGGAGCTATTACCCGAGATATTATGTCGTTTTGGAACGTCATATCTCCGCGTGGAGTTATGTCGTTTTGGAACGTCATATCTCCGCGCGGAGCTATTACCCGAGATATTATGTCGTTTTGGAACGTCATATCTCCAAGTGGAGTTATGTCGTTTTGGAACGTCATATCTCCGCGTGGAGTTATGTCGTTTTGGAACGTCATATCTCCACGCGGAGCTATTACCTGAGATATTATGTCGTTCTGGAACGTCAGATCTCCGCGTGGAGTTATGTCGTTTTGGAACGTCATATCTCCGCGCGGAGCTATTACCCGAGATATTATGTCGTTTTGGAACGTCATATCTCCGCGTGGAGTTATGTCGTTTTGGAACGTCATATCTCCACGCGGAGCTATTTATTACCTGAGGTATTATGTCGTTCTGGAACGTCATATCTCCGCGCGGAGTTATGTCGTTTTGGAACGTCATATCTCCGCGCGGAGCTATTACCCGAGATATTATGTCGTTTTGGAACGTCATATCTCCGCGTAAAGTTATGTCGTTTTGGAACGTCATATCTCCGCGCGGAGCTATTACCCGAGATATTATGTCGTTTTGGAATGCCATATCTCCGCGGGGAGCTATTACCCGAGATATTATGTCGTTTTGGAACGTCATATCTCCGCGTGGAGTTATGTCGTTTTGGAACGTCATATCTCCGCGCGGAGCTATTACCCGAGATATTATGTCGTTTTGGAACGTCATATCTCCGCGTGGAGTTATGTCGTTTTGGAACGTCATATCTCCGCGTGGAGTTATGTCGTTTTGGAACGTCATATCTCCACGCGGAGCTATTTATTACCTGAGGTATTATGTCGTTCTGGAACTTCATATCTCCGCGCGGAGTTATGTCGTTTTGGAACGTCATATCTCCGCGCGGAGCTATTACCCGAGATATGTCGTTTTGGAACGTCATATCTCCGCGTAAAGTTATGTCGTTTTGGAACGTCATATCTCCGCGCGGAGCTATTACCCGAGATATTATGTCGTTTTGGAACGCCATATCTCCGCGCGGAGCTATTACCCGAGATATTATGTCGTTTTGGAACGTCATATCTCCGCGTGGAGTTATGTCGTTTTGGAACGTCATATCTCCACGCGGAGCTATTACCTGAGATATTATGTCGTTCTGGAACGTCAGATCTCCGCGTGGAGTTATGTCGTTTTGGAACGTCATATCTCCGCGCGGAGCTATTACCCGAGATATTATGTCGTTTTGGAACGTCATATCTCCGCGTGGAGTTATGTCGTTTTGGAACGTCATATCTCCGCGCGGAGCTATTACCCGAGATATTATGTCGTTTTGGAACGTCATATCTCCGCGCGGAGCTATTACCCGATATATTATGTCGTTTTGGAACGTCATATCTCCGCGTGGAGTTATGTCGTTTTGGAACGTCATATCTCCGCGCGGAGCTATTACCCGAGATATTATGTCGTTTTGGAACGTCATATCTCCGCGCGGAGTTATGTCGTTTTGGAACGTCATATCTCCGCGTGGAGCTATGTCGTTTTGGAACGTCATATCTCCACGCGGAGTTATGTCGTTTTGGAACGTCATATCTCCGCGCGGAGCTATTAGCCGAGATATTATGTCGTTTTGGAACGTCATATCTCCGCGTGGAGTTATGTCGTTTTGGAACGTCATATCTCCACGCGGAGTTATGTCGTTTTGGAACGTCATATCTCCGCGCGGAGTTATGTCGTTTTGGAACGTCATATCTCCGCGCGGAGTTATGTCGTTTTGGAACGTCATATCTCCGCGCGGAGCTATTACCCGAGATATTATGTCGTTTTGGAACGTCATATCTCCGCGTGGAGTTATGTCGTTTTGGAACGTCATATCTCCGCGCGGAGCTATTACCCGAGATATTATGTCGTTTTGGAACGTCATATCTCCGCGTGGAGTTATGTCGTTTTGGAACGTCATATCTCCGCGCGGAGCTATTAGCCGAGATATTATGTCGTTTTGGAACGTCATATCTCCGCGTGGAGTTATGTTGTTTTGGAACGTCATATCTCCGCGCGGAGCTATTACCCGAGATATTATGTCGTTTTGGAACGTCATATCTCCGCGCGGAGCTATTACCCGAGATATTATGTCGTTTTGGAACGTAATATCTCCGCGCGGAGTTATGTCGTTTTGGAACGTCATATCTCCGCGCGGAGTTATGTCGTTTTGGAACGTCATATCTCCGCGCGGAGCTATTACCCGAGATATTATGTCGTTTTGGAACGTCATATCTCCGCGTGGAGTTATGTCGTTTTGGAACGTCATATCTCCGCGCGGAGCTATTACCCGAGATATTATGTCGTTTTGGAACGCCATATCTCCGCGCGGAGCTATTACCCGAGATATTATGTCGTTTTGGAACGTCATATCTCCGCGTGGAGTTATGTCGTTTTGGAACGTCATATCTCCACGCGGAGCTATTACCTGAGATATTATGTCGTTCTGGAACGTCATATCTCCGCGCGGAGCTATTACCCGAGATATTATGTCGTTTTGGAACGTCATATCTCCACGCGGAGCTATTACCCGAGATATTATGTCGTTTTGGAACGTCATATCTCCGAGTGGAGTTATATCGTTTTGGAACGTCATATCTCCGCGTGGAGTTATGTCGTTTTGGAACGTCATATCTCCGCGCGGAGTTATGTCGTTTTGGAACGTCATATCTCCACGCGGAGCTATTACCTGAGGTTTTATGTCGTTTTGGAACGTCATATCTCCAAGCGGAGCTATTACCCGAGATATTATGTCGTTCCAAAACGACATAACTCCACGCGGAGATATGACGTTCCAAAACGAGATAATATCTCGGGTAATAGCTCCGCGCGGAGATATGACGTTCCAAAACGACATAACTCCGCGCGGAGATATGACGTTCCAGAACGACATAACTCGCGCGGAGATATGACGTTCCAAAACGACATAACTCCACTCGGAGATATGACGTTCCAAAACGACATAATATCTCGGGTAATAGCTCCGCGCGGAGATATGACGTTTCAAAACGACATAACTCCCCGCGGAGATATGACCTTCCAAATCACCACGTTTTTTTTGCGAAAATCGAAACTTTTTCGATGATTTTTTTTAATATCTCGGGTAAATAATGTCTGATTTTAAAATGTTATACCTTTTGGATGCGTAAGGATCCCTACCATCAATTGGCAGTCAAACAAATTCATCATCGATGGGTTGAAAAATGTTGTTGGCAAAAAACCGATTCGTTCGTAAATTCAACCTTTTTGATGATTTTTTGGAATATTTCGGTCAAATAATGTCCGATTTTGCAATTTCCTACCAGTTTTGACTCGTAAGGATCGTTTCTATCGATTGGCATCAAAAAAAGAAAATCCAAAATTTTGACCCAAATCGACAAAATGGCACGCTTTTTTTTTTCAAAATAGAGGTCGGTGCGAAAATCGAAACTTTTTCGATGATTATACCCTGAACCCTTTAAAAATGGCTATAAGGGTATATTGTATTTGTGGAAAATCCAAATGTATGTAACAGGCAGAAGGAAGCATCTCCGACCCCCTAAAGTATATACATATATTCTTGATCAGCATCAATAGCCGAGTCGATCTAGGTAGGATGTAGGTGCTCCTAGTGCCTGCGCAGATCGAGTTTGTTTCCGATAATCGATAACTTACTCCGTTTTCAAGCAATCGATAAAAATCAATATCGCTTCCTGCTTTTTAGGGCAATTTTGGTAAATAATAAAAGCTAGAGTCCCCAAACTTGACATAAAGCTTCTAAAATAGAATATATATATGCGCCATTGCAACATGTCGCAGGCGAACATGTTCGACAGTTGCAACGCACAAGTTGGCATTGGCATCGCAGCCGCAAACGCCATTTCAGTTGACATTTGCAAACGCGACGCTGCAGTTGCTGGCGACGCTCGACTCGGCACTCAGCTCGGTTCGTTGTGGACGCTAAGTTTACATTTCGTAGTAGCAGCAGCAGTAGCAGTAGCAGTAGCAGCAGCAGTAGCAGTAGCGGCAGCAACAATAAAATCGAAAGCAATACGCCAAACAAAAGCAACAAAAGTCGTTAAAAAGAACGCGCTGCAGTGTGAGGCGCCAAGGCTTGTTCTTGCTGCTGCCACTGTTGTTGTATTTGTTGTTGTTGTTGTTGTTGTTGTTGTTGTCATTTTACGCCAATTGCTGCTGCTATTGTTGCTGCTCAGATTCTCGCTCCATTCGCTTCATTCCGTTCCACTCGCCATTTTGTCGGCAACGTGCGTTGTGGGGCGCGTGTGTGGAAGGTGGAAGCGAAATTTGTGTTGTGTGCTTTTTGTTTTGTTTTCATGTGTGCGTCTCTGCGCGTCTGTGTGTGCGTCTGTGTGTGTGTGCGTCTGTGTGTGTGTGTGTGTGTGTGTGTGTAAACATCTATATATATTTTTCGGCGTTTTTTTTTGTTTTTGTATTGTTGTTGTTGTTGTCGCTGTTAGTTCATGCTGTTATTATATTGCTGTTGCTTTTGTTGCTTTAAGTATTTTTAGTGCTCGCGTGCGAAATTTGGTGTCAAAGTGAAAAAAATAAACATTTACGTGAGATGTAAGTAGAAGAGAGGCCTTGAAATGTCCTAAAACAGGCCAAGAAAACAACAACAACAAATAAAAAACGGCAAATAAGAGAAAATCAATGCGCGTGCCGAGTGTATGTGTGTGTGTGTGTGTGTGTGGTGTGTGTGTGTTCGGCCAGAGCCAAAGAAAATCCATAAAGCGCGCTGTGAAGCTCGTCGCAGTCGAGCTATGCGAATAATTTATAAGATTGAAATTAAAGACACCAAAAAGCGCTTTCTATGTATGTGTACGTGTAACAGTGTGCATGTCTGTGTGTGTGTATGTGTGTGTGTCTCGCATGCCTAGAAAGCAACCGCAAGAGCCAAAAAGAAGACAGCGCAAACAATTTCTTGGCAGCTGCCCCAACTGCCGACTGCATGGGACAAGCGAAATGCCGAAATGCTTGGCCCGCGGCCGCACCCGCATTTCGCACCCATACCCATTCCCCATCCACAATACAACCCGCCTCTGCCGCAGGCACCCCTTTGGGGCGCTGCAAAAATGTTGTAAACATGCGAGGCCGATGCTGACGCGGACGCCGCTGCCAAAGGCGCTGCCAACAGCAGCAGCAGCAGCAGCACACGGAACAGCTGATTCGCCTTTGGGCCACATTGGCACGCGCTGCAAAATGCATGTGACACACACACACACACACACACACACAGTCAAAGAGGCCTAAGGCGAGAGCGAAAGCCAAAGAGTGTGAGAATCGGCCATAGTCTTCTGTCAACTGTCAACACACTGCAGCAAAATGCAGAAAGTAACGAGTAAACAAGTAGCGAGTGCCATTCCAGCGAGTAAATAAACAATCGTATTCAATTGAATCCTTTGAAATTTGTACGCTGTAATATTACCAAAGAAAATGTTTACCTTATAACAAGAGATTTGACGCAAGCGAAATAACGAGTGTGCCAACGAATGCCTGCATGAATGCATACGCATTAAATACTATATTCATTGTGCTCTGATTCGTATTCATCAACTAGCTGACAGACTGAGGAAGTTAACTGCAGACATTGCACTCAATAGCGAGTGTGCTCCGAGCCCAATTTGAATATGTAGCCAATTATTCATCAAAAAGCTGACTAACAATGAGAGTCTATAAATATTTCAGGATGCCAAATATTATTCACGCTCCTGCATATATGCATATTGACAGTCGAAAATTGACGAGCGAGTGTCCCTGAATGAATTGGCTATTTGAGTGTATATATATATAATTCCTATTCAGCATATATTGGTGAATAAAAATTGAAAGCTTCATGCGGACTCATGAATGCACTCAAATTCCAGCAGCGAGTGGTTCACGTTTGAAAAAGAAATTATCTAGCAACTAAAACTGATAAACATTTCAATCAGACTCATGAATACACTCACTCACAGCATAGTTAAAATCTTTTATGATATAACTAACTAACAACCACGTACTTTGAATATATCAAGCATGCTTCATGCTCATGAATAAACTCAATTGCATTGCTAAGCTTCAGTTCAGCTGGCATATTACGTATACGCCATGCTGTCTGCCATTTGAAGCAAACATATTTCGTTGGCATGCACTCCATTTAAGCATCTTTGAGATACTTAGTGCAGTCACTGTGAGCCGCTTATTACACTCAGCGAAAAAGTAATTGCAGTTAATTCTGAGCAAAAGCTGAACTGGATGTATAAATCGAAAAGCAGCTACAACTAGTTGGGCATACACATGAGAGGCTCTGGCTGCAAATGAATATTTTTGCTTTTGCCCCAATTTTTTTTTAAATGTTTTTTTTCCCTTGATTGTTGGCGAGTGCCCTGATTTTTTCGTGCAGTGTAAACAAACGACGGCTGAGCCTGTCTCTATGCCAATCAACTTAACTATGTTTAACTTTCTGCAGCTACCCGCACAGTCTGACGAAACAACAACAACAACAACAACAACAATAACAGCAGCAAGGACGAGTTGGATCAGCCCGCTGAGAAGGAGGCGCTGCAGAAGCGGCACCATCAGCAGCAGCAGCAGCAGCAGCAGCGGCACACGCCAAGTTCAAAATTAACGCCTGACAATGACAAAGGGCTCCACTGGGCGGCCAACAGCAACAACGTGGCGCCCGCCAGCAACAGCAACAATCAAAACAACAACAGCAACGCCAGCAATAACAACAATCAATGAGCGCAGCACGAGCTGGCGTCGACGCTGCACAACAACAACAACAACAGCAACAACAATGCGAATGAGCCGCGCCTCGTTGTACGCCTCGCTGCCGGCCTGCGGCATATCCTGGCTGCTGTTCGTCCTGTGTCTGCTTAGCTGCCTCTGCTGTTACACAGGTAATTATTAACACGCTTGGCCGCTTGGCACGTGATTAGCATGCCACGGCCCCGCCCACAATCCATAGTAAGGCAATCGATATATTATGCTCACCTTGCTGATCAGCATGCTTCGCCTTTAAGTGTAGCTATCGATATATCGAAAGAGGTTTAATCGTTTCATTGCACCAAGCCAAAAGCAAGCGAGTCTGCTCGACTGCAAAATACCCTGTGACCCTCAGTCAATCTAAGACTTAAAGTTGAATAATATTAATCGATATTGCATAAATGGAACAACATATCGATAATTACCGATAATTGTTCCCAGTATCCATATATAAGCAGAATGCAAGTATCTTTTGTAGTTTCCGAGCTCGCACAGCTCAAACGGATGTGCAGTTCTTGCTGATCGAGAATATATATATATATATATATATACCTTGCAAAGCCGGGCATGCTGTCCACGAAACTATTATGGCCCTTTCAGCCATCTTCAATGAGTGCAGGGCATAAAGAATAGGCCATAAATATTTGCTTGCCAACAAATTGCCTCTTCAATGAAGGCAACTGCTACTTAGCAAAGCCGATAAATTCAATGGCCAAGTATTTATATGGCCAAGGGGCTTTTATCGTTATCGCATCGATTGTCAGCTGAGATTAAGGACTCAGCCTTGATAGTTCGCTCCAAGGGGCACAGGCCGAATAGTCAACAACGACGAAAACAATTGATCGAAAAATATGAAAACGGTATTAGAATGCGAAGCGGTTGGGGTTCAGGGAAAATGTGCTTAGGCCCCGGAAAAAAGAAAAAAACACTATAGACTCTAGCCTTGACATTGCACATGCAAAGTCGACTCGTTGGCTCGTTGGGGTTTTTTTTTTATTTTTTTCTGGTGCCCGTTTGCGCGGTTGCGCCAGTTGCCATGTCGCCGCCCAAAGCACCTGACGTCGACAGCTGGAGGCGTGGCACAAGGTGCCGCACTTAAATCCAAACACTTGTGCAACAGCAGCGAACGACATTAAAGTTGCAAGCTGGTCGGTATAAAAACCAAAAAAAACCAGTAAGAAACTTTTTATTAGCGAATCGAATGCGCATAGATAACAACTTCTAGAGTACAGAAACCCAATGGAATGAAATAATAAAATACCTTATTTATACCCTACTTTTTAGAGGGAACATGCAGTGCATTTTCATAGAAAGCTCTCAAGCATCAGATATTCTAGTCTAGACAGACTACTTTCTCCACTTCACTTTTCTCATATTTCAGATTTAGATACATCTCAATCGTTTCATGCTGTGATATTCATAAGCTTTAGGCCAGATACAAATGAAAAAGTTTTGGGAAATTGAGAAACGAAAAACTTAGTTCAGTTGTAATTCCACTCATTTTCCACTATAAAAACTAATTATTTAACTGTAATGATAAACTGTAATGATAAAACATCGGTGCGAAAATCGAAACTTTTTCGATGATTTTTTTTTTAATATCTCGGGTTATAACTCCGCGCGGAGATATGACGTTCCAAAACGACATAACTCCGCGATCACCAAATCATCACGATGCGAAAATCTAAACTTTTTCGATGATTTTTTGTTTAATATCTCGGGTAATAGCTCCGCGCGGAGATATGACGTTCCAAAACGACATAACTCCGCGCGGAGATATGACGTTCCGAAACGACATAATATCTCGGGTAATAGCTCCGCGCGGAGATATGACGTTCCAAAACGACATTACTCCGCGCGGAGATATGACGTTCCAAAACGACATAATATCTCGGGTAATAGCTCCGCGCGGAGATATGACGTTCCAAAACGACATAATATCTCGGGTAATAGCTCCGCGTGGAGATATGACGTTCCAAAAGGACATAATATCTCGGGTAATAGCTCCGCGCGGAGATATGACGTTCCAAAACGACATAACTCCGCGCGGAGATATGACGTTCCAAAACGACATAATATCTCGGGTAATAGCTCCGCGCGGAGATATGACGTTCCAAAACGACATAATATCTCGGGTAATAGCTCCGCGTGGAGATATGACGTTCCAAAACGACATAACTCCCCGCGGAGATATGACGTTCCAAAACGACATAGCTCCGCGCGGAGATATGACGTTCCAAAACGACATAATATCTCCGGTAATAGCTCCGCGCGGAGATATGACGTTCCAAAACGACATAACTCCCCGCGGAGATATGACGTTCCAAAACGACATAACTCCCCGCGGAGATATGACGTTCCAAAACGACATAATATCTCGGGTAATAGCTCCCCGCGGAGATATGACGTTCCAAAACGACATAATATCTCGGGTAATAGCTCCGCGTGGAGATATGACGTTCCAAAACGACATAATATCTCGGGTAATAGCTCCGCGTGGAGATATGACGTTCCGAAACGACATAGCTCCCCGCGGAGATATGACGTTCCAAAACGACATAACTCCCGCGGAGATATGACATTCCAAAACGACATAACTCCCGCGGAGATATGACGTTCCAAAACGACATAATATCTCGGGTAATAGCTCCGCGTGGAGATATGACGTTCCAAAACGACATAACTCCCGCGGAGATATGACATTCCAAAACGACATAACTCCCGCGGAGATATGACGTTCCAAAACGACATAATATCTCCGGTAATAGCTCCGCGTGGAGATATGACGTTCCAAAACGACATAACTCCCCGCGGAGATATGACGTTCCAAAACGACATAATATCTCGGGTAATAGCTCCCCGCGGAGATATGACGTTCCAAAACGACATAATATCTCGGGTAATAGCTCCCCGCGGAGATATGACGTTTCAAAACGACATAACTCCCCGCGGAGATATGACCTTCCAAATCACCACGTTTTTTTTGCGAAAATCGAAACTTTTTCGATGATTTTTTTTAATATCTCGGGTAAATAATGTCTGATTTTAAAATGTTATACCTTTTTGGATGCGTAAGGATCCCTACCATCAATTGGCATTCAAACAAATTCATCATCGATGGGTTGAAAAATGTTGTTGACAAAAAACCGATTCGTTCATAAAGTCAACCTTTTTGATGATTTTTTGGAATATGCCCATCAAATAATGTCCGATTTTGCAATTTCATACCATTTTTGACTCGTAAGGATCAGTTCTATCGATTGGAATCAAAAAAAGAAAATCCAAAATTTTGACCCAAATCGACAAAATGGCACGCTTTTTTTTTCAAAATAGAGGTCGGTGCGATAATCGAAACTGTTTCGATGATTATACCCTGAACTCATTAAAAATGGGTATAAGGGTATATTGTATATGTGCAATTTTGAATTAAGCATATAGTCGATTGGTTCCCACAATTCTAATGCCAACATGAAAAGGGTATATAGCTGCCGACTCGTTTGAAAATCAACAGCTTTTATGTGCCTCCTGTTGTTGTTGACGCACATGGCAAAGTTTATTGGCAAACTATTTTGTGGTATGGCATAACGTGTTGTCGTCGCTCCCACGAGGCGGCTCAAATTCTTTTGCAGCTCTTCAGAATTCTTCACTGTCACAACTTCAGTTGCACAATGCCAAGTTTTATTGCTCAGCTATTGAGTTATTGGGCGATAGAATCATTAGCCGAGGATGTCAGGGCCCAAAGCAGTTCTCGCCGCTGTCGCAGGCTTATGCTTAACCATTTAGACACTTACGTCCGCTTATGACTTACTAATTAGTTGGATTTTGGCCAACATTTAACTACAGCCTACATAAAGCTATGCTCTGCTAGCCCCAAAGGCGACACAATAGCCGCACATCAAGCATTCGAGGGCGGACGACGAAGAGACGATGGGTCGTCGAGTCAATTTGGATCGATAGTTGGGCTTACCCAACAGCAAATTACACAGCCAAACTGTCAAAGGGGCAAATGACAGACACACCAACACAAACACCCTTACGACAATTCCAAATAGCAATTGACAACGATAATTGCGTTGATGGACGGGCAATCAAAACCTTTTCACAGCCTGTGCACAAACGCATGCATAATTCAAGTGCTTGGTGTTGAAGAGAGCGTTCCGTTTACAGTTATTTGTTCGTTGGCAATCAATGAGTTGGCGAGTTCGTTCAATTATCTATTGCAAATAGTCCAATCGAGAATCCAAAATGAGTAGCCAATGCATGTGGTCCTAGCAAGAGGCAAAAGAAGATAGCCATAACGAGTATTCATAGCGAATAGCCATAACAAGAAGCGAAAACGAATTACCATAGCGAGTAGCTACAGCGAGTAGCCTTAGAGAGTACACATAGCGAGAGACCGAAGCGCGTAACCATATTCGTTATGATTACATAACGAGTAGCCATAACGAGCAGCCATATCGAGAAGCTAAAACAAGTAAACGTAGAGGGTAGCCATAGCTATTAGCAATAGCGAGTATTTATAGCGAGTAGCTAAAGCGACTCGTCTTAGCGAGAGGACGAAGCAGCAAGTATTCATTGTGAGTAGACTCAGCGAGAAGAAATAGCGACTAGCCCGAACCAGCAACAGCGAGTTGCCATCAATAGATCCAAGTGAGTGTCGCTAACGAGTTCTAGCGTTACGGGGCACATAGAAAGTAGCTTATAATGTAGTACAAATGTAAATATAACGAACGCCCCTTGTTGTCGCTTTGGCATATTTGGGCTTGACTTTTCTCACGCAATATTATTGGTAGTTGCGGCCAGTTTGACGACAGCTCAACTTGCATGCCTCAACGCGCATACGACACGTTGACAGCAAGGATGTAAAGCGTACAAAATTTGCATTGCATGCGACAGGGGGGCACGTTTCGCGTTCCACTAATTGCATTGCACATAGTATTCAAAATGGTTTTATAATCTTTGCTTCCGTTAACAATTCACCACCGGCAACAACTACAACAACAAGAAGGTTTCCTTCGGCTTGGCCCAAGCTATTTTCCCGCACACCCACAAAATCTCATTAGTGACGACCGATGATTACCAGCACACACACACGCTGTGGTCCTCGGCGAAAGGCACAAGTTGAAAAGTTGAT